AAAAAATGTTTTTTCTTTTCTTTGACAGAAAGAGAGAAAAGCGAAAGAAAAACTATGAAACCTCATTAGTTATTAAAAATTCAAACATTTTTTTAAAGAAAAGATAAACTTTTTAAAAACGATATGGCTAAAAGTTAACGTAAAATAAAATTTGAAAGAAATAAACACTTCAATTGAAAGGATAAAATTTAGTTTTCCCTAAACTAATTTTTTAAAAATATCCTTGAATAATTCGCTTGCCTTTGAAACCACCTATCAATAAATAAAAATCAATGATTTTAAAAATATCACTAATTCATGTACAAATGTATAATTAAATTTTTTCACGACTTAATTCTGGTCTACTTGGTTTCTCTTTTGTTATTATTTTCAGTCAGTATATTTTTTTTTAAATTTGCTATTTACTCTTCAAATATTTTGTATGACATTGTCGAACTAGGCTTTAATAGCACTACAAAGGGCATAGTAAACGAAGTCGTGCAAGTCAATGACCGTAAAATGTAAATTTAAAAAAAATTCAGGGTGTTGAATTTCTCTGATCCATAAATTTGTAAAAAAAGTTTTTTTTTATACTTTGACATAGAGAGAAAAATGAAAGAAAAATTGTGAAACATCATTAATTATTTAAAAAATCAGACATTTTTTAAGAAAAGAGAAACTTTTTTAAAAAAACATATGGGCAAAAATAAACGTAAAATAAAATTTGAAAAAAAAACACCAACTGTAAGGAGAAAATTTAGTTTTCTATAAACTTAAAATAAAAGGTAACTTTAAATATAAAACCACCTACAATAATTAAAAATCAAGGATGTTAAAAAAATATCATTAAATCATGTTTAAAAATATAGTAAAAAATTTTACAACTAGATTCTGGCCAACTTAGTTTTGGCTTTATTATTATTTACAGTCAGTCCATTCTTTTTTAAATTTACTATTTACTCTTCAAATATTTTGTATGAAAATGTCGAACTGGCTTTAATAGCAGTACAAAGGGCATAGTAAAAAAAGTCGTAGCAAATCAGTGAGAGTAAAATGTAAATAAATAAAAAATTCATTCTGTTGAATATCTCCGATACATGAATTTGTAAAAAATGGTTTTTCTTTTATGCCTTGACAGAGAGAGAAAAGCGAAAGAAATACTGTGAAACATCTTTAATTATTAAAAGTTCAAATATTTAAAAAAAGTGAAACTTTTTAAAAAAGATATGGCTAAAAGTTAACGTAAAATAAATTTTGAAAGAAATAAACACCAACTGAAAGTAGAAAATTTAGTTTTCCATAAATTTTAAATTTTTTAAATATCAAATTCACTAGTTTCGTGGTCCGCTTGACCAATTATATTTTTACTTTTTACAAATTATTCAATTTTTAAATATCTTTGAATCATTCAACTTGCCTTTGAAACCACCCATCAATAAATACAAATCAAGGATATTAAAATAATATTACTAAATATAGGGTACTAAATAAAATACTAAATCACGTTCAAATGTATGGTTAAATTTATTCACGACTTGATTCTGGTCAACTTGGAGAAACTTGGAGGAAGAAACTTTAGTTTTCTAAATTTTAAATATCTTTAATTATTCAACTTGCTTTGAAACCACCTATCAATACATAAAAATATCACTAAATTATGATCAAATGTATACTTAAATTTTTTGACGACTTTCTGATCAACTTTGTTTCGCCTTTATTTTCAGTTAGCACATTTTCGTCGCAAGCCAATGAGCGTAAAATGGAAAAAAAATCATGGTGGCGAATTTCCCTGATCCGTGAATTTGTAAAAAAAATGTGTTGTTACATTTGAGAATATTTTTAATCGGAATTAATTTTAGCACTTAAACAGAGATTGTTTAATCTAAATAACGAGATCGACCATAATTGGTGATTTTTTTCCGAAACAGGTATCATATTGGATCGTTATCTCGTTTTCTTCTAAGTGATACGGCGTGTTAATAAATACAGAATTTCCTTGAGCCGTTTCACATGAGAATGTCACATCTCTGACGTAACGATTATCTTTAAAATCTTAATGATTGTCATTAGACCTTTCCACGACACAATGGTGGCAAAATAGGATTTGAGCCACATTAGTCAGGGACTTCCTTTCCCGGTTGAGAGTTTCTACGGTTTATCTGCACGGTGTTTTCACGTTCAGAAAAATTGATAACCGACGAGGGTACGCCTTGTCATACAGCGTCGGCCTGGCAGTTATAATGGGGCAGTAGTTTAAAATTCGTCTCCGGAAAGAAAAAGAGCCGTTATAGAATGTCGGTGGGCCTTAGAAAAAGGCGCCGATCTGATTGAGTGAATAGATTCACCTACTGGAATCGCCTCCTTTGGAAAGAAAACGCCGAAGTGGCTAATCTTGGGCAAAACCCGAGTCGGAAACAAGGCAAAAAATGGACGAGGCGCGACGAAGCGTGGGAGTTTGTCCCCATCCGACTTAGCCATAAAACTGTAATCGTATCGGAAAACAATTGGAAGGGAAAAAGCTTAAGATTTTCACTTTCCGTGATATATGGTTTCATGTTTATTAGTGAGCTCGGACCCTGGGGCACTTAAGTGTTCTGAGAAGGCCGACAGGTACGCGCGCTGATTTATTAGCATAACGGTGTACCTGTCTCGACCCCATCGCCGCGATGCAAATAGATGCAGGCTGTTAACTATTGTTAACGTATACAGTTTTTCTGGCTGCACGATTTTTCGGATCGCCACCTGCTTTACAACCGGCGATTAGTAAACTCGGGGGGAAAAAATTCTATGGCTTGGGTCCTTTCTTTCTATTACCATTTCCAAACTTGCTGATGGCATCGTGTGTCCGACGTCTACATTTCTTACATTTTTATAAGAGAGAGGGAGTTATAAACCTCACCAGCTGATTTTGAACTTACTTTTCATTAAAAAATACAGTTACAAATATGAATAAGTCCATTATATTTCGAGGTCTGATTGAAGAAATAACATCTTTCAATTAATTACTCTTTTTATGTAATGTATTGATTGAAATGAAAAATCTAGTGTCACGAACGGGATTCGAATCGAATCCTGATTACACATTTGAAAAATATGTGTAATAGGTTGAGAATGGGGAGTTGGTTCCGAGTGGATCGAAGTCACGATAGCTCAAGTTGTTTGAGAAGCGGCGTATTGAGCCGAAGGTCGTCGGTTCGAATCCCGCTGGTGACACAAGATTTTTCATTTCAACCAATATCTTACATAAAAAGATTAATTAATTGAAAGAATGTTAATAAGGCTGTCTTAATGAATTTAAGAAGAATGTACCTCCCCCCCCCCAAAAAAAAAGGTCAGTTTTGAACCTTTAGAAGGATATGTAGAACTTACGATACAAGTAGGCATAATTTTAATACCATTCGTGGTTTTATAGGAGGCGCTGCCTATTCAGATCTGCAGATGCAGGTCACACATAAGCACATGCACAGAGTTGAGTCCATGACTTCTCTCAGCCCACAAGCGATTCCAGATTTTGTAATTCACAATAAATTACCGGCAGGCTTCGAGAATCTCACCTATCAGACCCAGTCTTCTGTCCAACCACCGAGGTAGTGCTCCAAGGGCTATCACCCAGTTAGGTATTTCAGCCCAAACGTAGTCATCCAAATTCTCGCCGCCCTGCTCAAACACAATTCACAAATTGGGTGGCATTCCTACACGCTCAACTAACTATATAGAGCTCAGGAATTCAATTAAGTAGGACACAGGGAGCCTTTCTCTACATGGTGTTCACATTCGCGGGTTTTGGCCCAAAAAATAAGAGTATATGTGTTAATTATGCAAGGCCTACGCTTAATTGGGTGAGGATGAACCCATTCATAGGAGTCAGACGTCCAGAGCCAACTATGGATAGTGCTCTTGATTTTTTACCCCAAATATAATGCCCTATTCTTTTTCAGATGCTTTGAAAGTCCTTTTCATTATAAAAAGGATACCTACCAGAGCATCAAAAATTCACAGATTCATTCTGATATTAAATTTTTCTTCAAAACTTAATATTTTCAATTTTTTCAAGTTTCTTCTGTTTTAACCAGTTATACGATAAAACGAAATCTAGTTCTGAAGGAAAATTTCAATATCGCATGAACAAATGGATGAAATTTTGAGTTTCTTTTTTTTTAGACTGGAAAGGACTTGTAAAATATGTGGAAAAATAACGCATTTCGTTATAAAAAAAAAGCTTGATCACACGGTTGTTTTAACGAAATAACTTGTTAGAATGATAATAGCAACTAGATATTAAGTGAAAAATTATTTTTGAGACCATACTTAGATTTACAATAAAATAAGCACCATAAAAATAAATGGCCATGTACTATATAAAAATAACATAAGAAAACTAAATACAACAAATTATTAAAAAATAAATATCTTGTTTGAAATATAAAATAAAAAAGTATGATTAGGGATGCATTTTTTTATATTTTAAACAAATGTACATTAATGATCTTTCCGTTAAATTACAAAATTGATTTAGTGGTTTTTGGGACTTCAAAGTGGTACATTGCTAAATTGACCAGTCGTACTCTATCTGGTTTTCTCAATTTTATTTTCAACTTAATGGTCTTCAGCTACTGTGGGTCATGTATATTTCTTAAATTTATAGTAGATAATTTTTATCTCTTGTATTATTTTTGAAGTGATCGAATAATTATAATTGATGTGAAACATGCTGACCGAAAATAGCGATTGGATGTGCGTGTGTTTCCATGGGCTACGCTGGGATTCAAAATACAATTCAATTTTTATGTTTTGATTTGTACTCACACAAGCTCCAAGTTGAACAAACTATGTCAAAGTTTTTATGAATAATTACCTTGAATTTAACAAAGTTGCTTGCAATAATCGCTGTCGTCATGGAACTTAAAATGTTGACATATCGCGTCGGTACATTGAGCATGTTCTGTAACCGATAAATGGCGGTTTATAGATAATATTTATTGGTATTTGTCTTTATAATAAAATTATTTTGTTTATTTCAGAGTGAAGCTCTTGAACTGACGACAAGGGAGCGGACCGGGAGCCCGGAAACTCCATCTAGTCCACGAGCACCTGTACAGCCGACTGCACCGTCGTCACCTCCGCCGTTCGACGACAAAACTCCATCAGGTATGATAGTTTTTTCAACCACGAGATTGTTTATTCCCGATATGGCCGGCCCGTGTCAGTTCTACTGCCCTGAATATCGTCTTAACAATGATGGACGAGCAGTGTCGCTAAAAAGATAATTGCTTTCGTAATCGCCCATGTAATTGCTTGAATTAGACACATAGGACCATCGGGCGTTATTGTTATTAACTTATTTTTTATTAATGTTAATAAGAAGATTAATTGAACCGAATAATCCCGGCCACGTCCCGTTAGTTCCATTCAAACGTTCTTCATCAATGCTTCTTTTACGAAATGAAATTCAGTTTATTTAGTTGTACAAGATTTGGCTTCAACTAGACAAATTGATTGTACATAAGCGTTATTTCATAACTATTGAGCTTCTTTCATATGCGTAATAAAAATACAACCTTTATTAAATTTGAGGATTGACTTCCACAACACTTGAAAACTTTTATTCGCTATTGTTATTTTCAGTTAAACTATAGTTGAAAATCAGTCTGTTGCCGTAGGAATAAAATTAATGGAGACACTGATTTATCATCTAGCATTGCTTTATTTATGTTCGAGAGTTTCATAAAGAAAAACTATGCAGAGTAGACCCGGTGGTCGAAGCGAAGGCCTTTATCAATGATCGAAGATTGAAGATAGGTAATTTAATCTATTGCTGATCGACGTTATTTTAAATTATCGGTTTGCTGTTGATGTTCAATATTTGGCAGCCTAGTCATGTCTGACAATAATAAAATTTCGATTTTTCAATATTTATCTTTATTTAGCAACTGTTTATAGATTATCTAGGGATTTTTTTAGGTGTTCCTCTTAGAAAATATTAAATCATACTTGTATATATGAAAGATCTGAGAGATTATGAAACCGTCCAATTTATACATATTGTATCGATACATCGGAGTGTAAAACAGTCATACAACGATGTTTAATTATTAATATTCCTAAAGGTTATAGGGGTATTCACGATCTTTGTGTTAATCCTGTTAACTCTGTTAGGTCCTGTTAGATCGAGAAAAATGATGACGTAGATTTCATTTAGGTTGAATTTAACAGCTGTTAGGTTAAAAAACAGCTGCTAAATTCATGGCTGCCATGTTGGTTACCTACGCCTTAACGGATAACAATGTAACTACATTTTCGACCTAACACCTAACATTGGCTCTGGCCAGTTAAGTCTAGCAATGTTAACTAGCCGATTCTTACAAATCTACGTCATCATTTTTCTCGATTTAACAGGATCTAACAGAGTTAACAGGGTTAACACAAAGATCGTGAATACCCATATAATTAGTATTTACAACGGTTATGTTAGTATTCCATAAACTAATTTCTAAATTGTCCTTGTCCTATGAAAGTTTTTTCCTTTCCAAATTCCAAACTTTCCAGCAGATGTATTATGTATATTATGGAGTCATCTATGTTTATACATAGTTGAAACCAGTTAAATTAGTACTGATCTTGGAAAAAGTACGAAATTAGTTCACCAACCATCAAAAACAGAAGATTCCTGTTTCCTATATTCCAATAATGTTTAAAAAAATTCCCTTTCTCGATAAAGTCACTGATTTGATGCGGATGAGGCGCCAAACCATTTACAATAGATTTTTCGTAACGTTATCAATTAAAAATCCATAGGCTGCACCGGAATTCGAACCCAGAACCGCTAGTATTCTGCGTGGCAAATGCGAATCGGAACCCTAACCAAAGTGGTCCCTTACCTTCTAATTTTAGTACACTCATTAAAAACTATTACTTATTTACTAAGCGGTGCGACAGTCCTTACAGCAGCACCTGGACCTCCTCAATTAGTTTTCCCCATTCGTTTCCGTCTTGGGATTTGAGGCGACATCTTCTTACACCCGTCAGCCGTAGGTTCTCCTCCACATCGTCCAACCACCTAAGCGGAGGCGTCTTCGTATTCTTGAGCCTCCTTGCTTCCCATAGAGGAGTTTCCTTGGAAGCCTATCTTGAGGTATCTCTCCACGTGACCCAACCATCTCAATCTTCCCTTCTTTATTTGAGCAAGTATACCCGGCTCGCCAAATAATTGCTTTAATTCGTCATTCTTGCGTACTTTCCATTCGCCATTTATACACTTATACACGAATATTTTACTTAGCACGTTTCTTTCCCATACACCAAGAATTCTCTCACTTTGTTTACTGAACACCGATGCTTCGGTAGAGTACATAACTTTGGTCTTATAATCGCTATGTAAGCTATAATCTTAGCCTTGTGTGAGGTGCTTGAACCGCAGAGCCTTTTGTACCGCAAACAGGCATCTATTTCCTGCCGCTATTCCTTTCTTCATTTCTGCCGTTACATCATTAGTCTTTATTACTAAGGGCCCTAGATATTTAAAATTACTGACTACTGGGAAACTATGGTTCCAAATTGAACTGGTCCTTCTCCACATCCATTGGTTCTCGAGGTGCTCTTATACTTAGTTTTACTGCTGCTATTCCTTCTTTTATTTCTGCCGTTATATCATTAGTCTTTGTTACGAAGGCCCCTAGATATTTACAATTACTGACTACTGGGGAACTATGGTTTCCAAATTGAACTGGTCCTTCACATCCACGCGTTCTCGAGGTGCTCATATACTTAGTTTTACCCTCGTTAATTTCCAGACCGCGCTTCTTGCTGGCTTCTTGCAATTCCAGAGGTGCTCCTTCCAGTATGGCCTTTGTTTTCTTGCTGTAATTAATACGTCGTTCGCATATGCCATGTGTGGCGATAATCTATTATAAATAATGCCGCCTGAGTTTGTTCTAATGGCCCGTACCGCTCTTTCCAAACAGAGATTGCAGATGACACATGATATTAATAACTATTAGTAATGGTAATTAACGATAAACATCTTTGTTGGATAAGAAGATGTCAAATGTCTTTGATATTTAATTAAGATATTTTGTGTGGTTGATAGGTGCAACTGTGGAGCTTCGACGTTTGACGTGATAATCATATAAAAATAACATATCGGAAATAAGGCAGTATTTCACACAAAACCACAGGCACATCCGTGTAGCGTAATTGTATATGGAAATGGCCGAATTATCGTGACGGGAGGGTAATGTTATTGGGGGTTCTGAGGGGAGTTAGCGAGAGGGTTCAACAAGTGGGTGGGTTGATGGATCGCGGCGGTAGGAAGTAGGGTGTCACAGTCTAGTGAGCCTACTGGCTCTCTCACGGCAGCCCCTATTCGGATTACGACTATCCAACGGATCACGGAGATTACCGGGAGACACCCGGTAATCCGTTTGAGTTACCAAAATGATCATCTTAAACAATTACGCATATAACGAAAATAGACAGACGTTTTTCGAGTGACAATGTAGAAAAATACATTAATGATAGACATTTACATCCGTCCTAGGGTGAAAGTTGAAATAATTCGACCAAGTTGCCGAGCAGAATAAACAAGTTTGTAACACCGGAAATGCGCGGACCATTAATTTGACTTATGACAATAATTTATCATCTTGGAATATACTAATTTTAAAAAATGTTCCACTGTAAAATTACTTCACGAGGTCTGACGGGTTGTGATCCTGCAACTTGAACATCTTTAACATTTTCTTTTCAATTCTTTTAATAAATAATTGTGTAATGTGATCAATTTTGATTAGTTTTTAATGACTCTCTTAATTTTAAACTTGTAGTTTGATGTTCGTCGAATATCCCGGTTTGCTTAATTTCGTCTATGCAGCCAACATCATCGCTTGGTTTTTATGTTATTATTCTCATTCTTATATAAAAAAATCTTTTACTATCGTATTACACGACATTTGAAAAATGGCAAAAAGGAGGAAAAATTCAAAAGGTGGGGTTGAGATGGGAAGTTAGTTTCCGAATGGATGGAGGTCACGATAGCTCAAGTGGTAGAGCAGCAGTATCTAGCCGAAGATCGTGGGTTCGAATCCCGCTCGTGCCATTGACTTTTTTATCTCAACTAAAAACCTTAATTAATATTAATACGCAAATAGATACAATTTATTCACGTTTTTATGAAAGGAACAAAACTTAAAATTAAAATTTCAATAAATATTAAATAACACCAAAAATATAATTAATAGGCTATAATTTTTTTAACCAATATTGGCTTTTGCATATTAACATCTATACAGTTTATCCCAAATCTACAATGTTATGAATCGAAAATAAGATGTAGCGTTTCGATTTTTATATATAAACAATAGTGGGCAATTCATAATTTTTTTGTATCATAATTTTAATGTTAAATGAAATTTATGAGTCCGAGCCCCATAATTTAACTTATTTAATCGTACAAAACTTGGTAATCGAGATCAACGCAAGTGATGATTTTTCTACTTTACAAAACCTTGCACTATTTCACATGAAATTAATTAGTGTTTTGCTATTGCGGACTAATATAACTGATTTATCAGGTGAAGGAAAATAAATAGTTATTTGGAGTTGGTGAGATGCGGTCTGGTGTGACGTAGGTTTATAAAAACGTTTTCTTTATCGTGCCAATGTTTCGATCTTTATTGAGATCATCTTGAGAGCCGGGGAGTTATACACATTGTTTAAATTTTACAAATACATGTAGGATCTAAAAAAATGAATTTATACAAGGTAGAAATTTTAGACGCAATCAAAGTGTTTGTACTCATTCAAAGTATTTGTTTTCTGTGTAGATGTGTCATAATTGTGTGTCGTGTTGAGAATGCCAGTGAGATGTTTTATGTTTATATACGTAGGATTTTGAAGGGGTGGGGAAGGAAGTAGGGATAGAAAAACATTTTTATATGAGGATGCGGCGTCTTTGAGGTGAAAGGAGCCATCAATGGAAAAAATGGGTTATCCGAACCATAACTGCTTATCCTTTTATATATATAGGACAGAAATATATATACGGGGATAATTAGGGAAAGGAAAGCCAAATTTTTGAAGAATAAGACTATGTTTGCTATTATTCGGACATTGTGAGATGCGGTCTGGTGTGACGTAGGTTTTAGAAAAAC